TGCGGGCTCGATCTCCAGTGTGGGGTGTGCAGGAGGCAGCTAATCCATGATTCTCTCTCATCATCGATGTCTCTCTCTCTCTCTCTCTCTCTCTCTCACTCTCTCTCTCTCTTCCTCTCTGAAATCAATACAAATATTCTTTTTTAAAAAGAGGGTAAAATAAGGCATTATCTTTTCTGTCTCACTGTCACCCGGAACAGTCCCCTCTCCCAAATCCTGAGCCCAGATCCCTGATGATTAAACATTAAGTTTTTCTGTTTCCCAGGCAAAGCATGCAACTAGCTGAGTGTGAGCATCCGGCGTTGTTGCTGGATCTTGATTTCTGGCTGAGGAAGGCGGCCGAGGGGCCACCCCATTACCTCTATTTTCTCCGGTGCTGTGAGCAGGACCGAAGCCACCAAGGACCCCGCGGAAGCCCCCGCAAAGGCCTTGACGTCCTTCAGCAGCTTCTGGCCGTGTTTGCAGAAGGCCGAGGCTGCCCCCAAGTGGTAAATGCCCAGGAATCCGCACGCAGCGAAGGACAGGTTGATGTGCTTCATTCCACCTGCGAAGTTGGCCACACACACACACACCAGGAAAAAAAAATACAGATAAATGCTCTAAGTCGGTATAATAAGCTAATCATGACTCTAAGCCTTCCTTTTCGTAGACAATTCTTTGTGCTGAGCTCCAATCTGCACAATTAAAGGCTCATCAAACACCCAAATCCTTCAAGGATACGTTTTCCCTACCCCTCCCACCTTGACCCCAAAATTTTATTCATGAAAAAATGAGGTTACAACAGTCCACAACTGTTCAGGGGGTTGCATAATATGCGATTTATTCATTAGATCGCGCAGCCTCCTACTCCCTTTCTTGGCAAGAGACGGATGGATCCGTGCCAACTGGCAGGCCACCTGGTCTTTTTTCTTGACCTTTTTGTAACTTTGGGGGGGAGTGCTGTATTGGGGAGACCTCCAATCATTGGACCAGGGCACATCCCAAAGGATGCACACATTTGCATGTTGCAAATGCATCCGTCAATTGCAAATGCATCCGTCAATTGCAAATGCATCCATTAATTGCAAATGCATCCCTCAGTTGCAAAGACAGATCCCTGCTCCCTCCACTCCCATCTCCATTCGGGGCATCCACGTTTTCTTAAAAAAACAAAAACAAAAACAAAACGGATGCCCCCAATTATTCAATCAAGCGATATTTTTCACCCCCGAGATCCTTAGGACAATCTGAGGTCATGACTGGCCAGGGCGCTGGAGGCTCCAAGCAATGGCACCCGCACTCCCTGATACCTGTAAGGAATCTAACTAAACGGCTCCTTTGGCTCGAGCCTCGGAGGGCAAATGTGTCCCCCGTCCCCCCCTCTCCCAGCCCCGTGGCTGAAATCCTGCCCTATGCTTGTTGCTCACTAGGACCCCCACTTGGGGCTCCGGGACCCCAATTCCGGGGCCATCAGAATAGGCGAAAGGCCCGGGCCCCCCAATTCAGGAACCTACAAGCTTTGTTCTGCAGCATCTGGCTGAGCCCCGTGAGGGAGGCAGCGCGGCCATTGCAGCCGAGCCTCAGCTTTGCTTTAATGACTGCAGATGGGAGGGGGCGAGGGATGGGGACTCGGTGTCCAGGCGGCCGCTCCGGACCGCGCATGCCCAGTGCGCACCGCAGCCTGGAGAAGACAGGACCCAGGTGGCCGCCATGCCAGGCCCAGGGCCACAAAACCAGCCCACAAAGCACCCTAGCAAAGTCTGTGGGCCGAAGTCCGCCCCCAACCCGCTCCGCCCTACCAATGCCGGCGGGAGGCACTTCCTTGTTAAACGCCCCACCTCCCCGCCTCAACCGGAAGGCGGGACTGAGCCGTCACTCAATGCCGCCCCGCCCTACCCAAGCAGGCTTGTGGCACTTCCGTGTTGAACGCCCCATCTCCCCGCCTTAACCGGAAGGAGGAGCCGGGCCGTCACTCAATGCGGCACCGCCTACCCATGCAGGCCTGTGGCACTTCCGTGCTGTACGCCTCACCTCCCGGCCTTAACCGGAAGGAGGAGCCAGGCCGTCACTCAATGCGGCACCACCTACCCATGCAGGCCTGTGGCACATCCGTGTTGAACGCCCCACCTCCCCGCCTTAACCGGAAGGAGGGGCCAGGCCGTCACTCAATGCAGCTCCGCCTACCACCCCCGCTCTGCCCTCATCCCGCTCCGCCCTCCAATGCAGGATTGAGGCACCTCCGTGCTGAACGCCCCACCTCACGCCTTAATCGGAAGGAGGGGCCAGGCCGTCACTCAATGCGGCTCAACCTACCCTTGCAGGCCTGCGGCACTTCCGTGTTGAACGGGCCACACCTCCTCTCTACCCCCGCCCCCCGTCCCCGCCTTAACTGGAAGGCAGGGCTGAGCCGGCACTCAATGCGGCTCCGCCTACCCATTCAGTTCCGTGTGGAACGCCCCCTCCACCCCACCGCCCGCCTTAACCGAGAGGCGGGGCCGAGCCGTCACTCAAACCTATGGAGGCAGGCCTGAGACACTTCCGCGTTGAGCGGCGCCCCGCCCCCCGCCTCAACCGGAAGGCAGGGCTGAGCCGTCACTCAATACGGCTCCGCCTACCAAGCCGGACCACGTTTGACGTGAGCCCTTCCTGGGAGGCCCGCCTACCCGCGCGGATCCGTGACGTCATCGCGCCGACGCGAGGGTCCGCTGGGCCCCGCCTACTCTATTTACATGGCTGGACTCATCATGGCAGCGCGCACTGGGCCGCTAGACCTAAGGGACCCCGAGTCCGGGCAAGGGCCCAGACTGTCTCCTCCGGAGCCCTGTATTCTGCGTTTCAGTCACTTATGAGTGCGCTAACCCTGAACGACCCTCAGGAACGGAGCACCGGAAGTGCTTGGTCCCTTTTACGGCTGCTTACCGGAAGTGGTTCTTCCCCTACTCGGGGCGGTCCAGCTGTCCCAGGGGGCGGGACCCAGGGACTTTAGACTGTGGCCAGGGTTGGGGTTGCCATGTCGCGTTTCTGGGCACATCAGTGCTTTTTAGGAGGCGTTATTGGGAAGGCCGGGCTGCTGGCTGGGGGGAGCGGCCACTTCCTCCATCAGCTGCAAGCTGTGTGACCTTGGGCAGGTTGCTCAACCTCTCTGAGCTCTCCCAGTGATTCCGCTGCAAGAGGGGGCGGTGGAATCTGAGTTGGGCTCAGTTGCAAAGCTGCTGCCCCTCGCGCGCCCGCAATGCACTTTCGGAGCAGCTTTACCGGGTGGCCAAGCAGGCTGCCCTCCCGGCCTGAATCCAAAGGCCTCTGATCAGTCTTTTCTCTCCATAAACAGCGCCTCCCTGCTTCACCCTAAGAAGGGACCCCGCAGGAATCTCAGGCCTCCAGGTGGAAGGTTCTCCAGCCCCCTCTCCCCGCCCCCACCTCCGCTTTTTTTTTAATCATTTTTTATTTTTCAATTACAGTTGACATACACTGTTACACTAGTTTCGGGTGTGCACCCCTGTGGTTAGACATTATAAAACTGATCATCCCCCTCATCAGTGCGTGTCGGGCCTGTCTCACTCAGTCCCGATGGGCCAGACCCCAGCTGCAAGCTAACCTACCAGTCAAAGCATCTGCCCCCTGGTGGTCAGTGCATGTCATAACAAGCTGTTGAGCGGCCTTAGCATATCATTAGCATATTACACTTTGGTTGAAGGGATGACTGGACACTTAGCATATTAGGCTTTTATTATATAGGATTCCTTATGCTGTACTTGACATCCCTGTGACTATTCTGTAGTGACCCATTTGTACCTCTCAATCCTTCACCTCTTTCCCCATCGCCCCAATTCCCCTCCCGTCTGGCCACCATCCAAATGTTCTCTCCCTGGGAGTCTGTTTCTGTCCTGCCTGATCGTTTATTTTGATTTTTAGACTCAGCTGCTGATAGATATGTATTGATTGCTGTTTTATTGTTCACATTTAAACATTTTTTTTCCAGGTCCTCTTTTTTTTTATTTTTTGTTAATGTTTTTTATTGATTTCGGAGAGGAGGGGAGAGAGAGAAAGAGATAGAAACATGAATGAGGAGAGAGAAACATCGATTGCCTGCCTCCTACACGCCCCCCAACTGGGGATCGAGCCCACAACCTGGCGTGTGCCCTTGACCGGGAATCGAACCTGTGACCTCCTGGCGCCTGCCTCCTACATGCCCCCCAACTGGGGATCGAGCCCACAACCTGGCATGTGCCCTGACCAGGAATCGAACCTGTGACCTCCTGGTTCATAGGTCGGCTCTCAACTACTGAGCCATTCCAGCCGGCCGGGCTGAAAGTTCCACACTCTCTTAAACTCTGTTCTTGTTTCCCCCGCCCACCCCATATATTCTCACGTGATCGATGAAAAACTCGCGAGGATGAGCAAGAATATCGGATCCACCCACATCTGTCTTTGTGGTGTTAGCACCGACAGTAACACTCGGAGCACAGAATCCGATCAATAAACATTTGGTTTTGGATGTTGGGTTTGAGTAAATGGCTCTTGCGATGCGAGTCTATAAGAATTTAATCGCCCTAGCAGGACTTTTTTTTTTTTTTTCAGGAATTTATTGGCACTCGTTGGCTTCTCTGTCTTCTTTCGTTTCGGAGTGGCTTGTCTATTTAGTCGCTTGTCAGACGGCTTGGGCTGTGACACTCCTGAGGCGTGAGGGCCAAGCCATGCCCGGCTGCTCTGGGTGTGGGTGCTGAGCTAATGCGTGGGGAGCCCTTAGCCCTGGGATGCACCTGGTGTGCAAACAGAGAGGTACGGGACGAGGGAGGCTCGCCACGAAAACCTGCTCTGCACCCCACCGTCAGCCAGCTGCTTATGTGGGGTAGGACGAGGATTGCATGGGGAAGGGGATGCCGAATGGGAGTTTTACAGGGAATGTGGGCTGGGGGTTTGCAAAGGACCTCAGGTATGCAAAGGGCTGGGGCTGAAACCAGCTCTCCAACATCCCCCGCGGGGTCCCGGATTGCGAGAGGGTACAGGCCAGGCCGAGGGACACCACCAATGCACCATCGGGGCCGGGGAGGGACGAGGGAGGTTGGCCAGCTGGGGGGGGACCACAGGAGGGCTCCAGTCTTGATTGGCCAGACCCCAGCAGTAAACTACCCTACCAGTTGGAATGTCTGCCCCCTGGTGGTCAGTGCACATCATAGCGACTGGTCGACCAGTTGAGCAAACAGTCAGACTCTTAGCATATTAGGCTTTTATTATATACTAGTAAGATCATATATATGTGTATGTACACATGCACAAAAAATTTTGAGCACCTTGCAAACAATTAAAAGTGGACATCCCTCAGAAGTGTCGTTTACGATTGGAGCCATCCGAGAATGTATGCTAACCTATACATCTTCCTCACTTAAATATCAAGCTGTGTGCATTACAGAGAAACAGTTTTAAAACGTAGCGTTTATTTATAAGCCTCGTTTTAAGCATCAATGAGAGAAACATCAATGATCAGACAGAATCATTGTTCGGCTGCCTCCTGCACGCCCGACACTGAGGATCGAACCCACAACCCGGGCATGTGCCCCGGGCATGTGCGACCGGGAATAGAACTGTGACCTCCTGGTTCATAGGTCAACGCTCAACCACTGAGCCACCTGGTCGGGCTTATTGTTATTATTATTCAAAATCATGTAGATTCCTAGATAAAACGAATATTTTCAAATCGTTTCACATTTGCATGAAGCTTTTGATTATTTTCAAGTGTTTTAACTATGTTGAGAAATATGAATTATTAAAACAACAGTGAAATGATGTGGTTACAAGGGAAATGCAGTCATTTAGAATACATTTTGTCTCCAGATGAAATATATATCCTTAAGAAATTCAGTTCCTTGGAACTGAGTACGTTTTAGCATTCTAATTCATTTTTCCCTACCATTTATAGAGCTGGCATTAATAAAATATTCATATCTCTGAGCTAATGTGGCATAACAAATTTAATTTTCAAAACAAGGATGACATGAATAGAACATGATCCATAATCACTTTTTCCCCCCCTTGAGCCTCATGTGGTAAGCCCTCCATGAGAAACACAGACTAGTCATCCGTATAACGACGTGGAACTTGCCAAATAAATGCACGCTTAGGAAAAGTCATAAAACAACAGAATCCCGAAACAAAATATTTGCTCAGAGTATTTATTTTCCATTGTTTCTCAGCAGAAGAGGGTACAACCCCACTGCCCTGGTCAGGGGGGTTTGAAATGTATGGGGGTGCAGGGCCAGCATGACTCAGGGGTTGAGCATCGACCTATGAACCAGGAGGTCACAGTTCGATTCCTGGTCAGGGCACATGCCTGGGGTTGTGAACTCGATCCCCAGGAGGGGGCGTGCAGGAGGCAACCGATCCATGATTCTCTTTCCTTCTTCCTTTCTCTCTGAAATCAATCCTATATAATAAAAGCCTAATATGCTAAGTGTGTAGTCGTCCAGTTGTCCGTTCAACCAATCAAAGCATAATATGCTAATGATATGCTAAGGCCACTCAACTGCTCGCTATGATATGAACTGACCACCAGGGGGCAGACAGTCAACCAGTTGCTATGATGTACACTGACCAACAGGGGGCAGACAGTCAAAAGGTCAAACAATCGCTATGTCATGCACTGACCACCAGGGGGCAGACGATCCGACCAATAGGTGAGCTTGCTGCTGGGATCTGGCCGATCGGGACTGAGCGAGACGGGCCAGACACGCCCTGGAGCCCTCCCATGGTCCCTCCCCGGCTGGCCAACCTCTCGCGTCCCTCCCCGGCCTCGATC